TATATTTGTTTATAAGTATATATATATTATATTATATATATTAAAATGTGTAAATTACAATGTTATATCTATGTGCGGACAAAGTATCAACAAAGATATAAATTTCCAAAAAGCATTGAAGATATTCTTTTTTCTTTTTAAAATTATATCATATTTTTATTGTATTTTGTTGTCACCATATTATTTAGGAAGAATTATTAGTTAAAGTACGCCAGAGCTGATAGGAAAAATATTTTAAAATTAGAATTATTACTTGAAAAAAATTAGGTTTCAGATTTAGCACATCTTTAATTTTATCTCCACCTCTTGTTATGACCGTGCTTAACACATTAAAAAATAATTTAAATGTATCTGATAGATTGAAGTTATGATTATAATAGAAAGCTACAGATTTTTATATATTTTTTTTGTAATAAAAATTATAAATTGCAATAAGAATGATATTTAGAAACTCATTATCTACTTTATATCCTGATTAAAAAAATAAATATATTAAACTTACAAATTCATTATTATATTATTTAAATTGTTCAAATATCTGTTTACTATTAAAAAAATGTCTTGAGTTTTTATTTTCTAAACTTTATATATTTACATACAATATATAATTACTTTTAATAAATATAACGCTTTATTTTTATTTCTATTTCAGCAGAGGCATATCTTTCGTTGTAATAAAAAATTTAAACAATCATAAAAAATATTTTTTTAGAAAAACCTAAACACAAAAAAAAAAAGAAAAAACCTATTGGTAGTTGTCGTGGGGCAGTTGTATTTGGGCTTGTTTATCGGGTCTGCCCGTTTGTTAGTACTCGAGATCTATTAACCCGGACCCGAGCCCAAAGCTGACTCGATAGCGTCGTCGTCTTCATTCCTCCCCTCCCGGTTTCTAGCTCTCATCGACCAGTGCATTCGCAGTCCGAAAAATCAGTTACTGTCTCGACTCTCTGTCTGATTCTTGTTGCAAGCTCAGGTAAAACGAAAAGAAGAAGAGAACTTTTGATTTTCCCTTTCTGCTAAGTCTCCGTCTCCTTCTATTTTCGATTTTTTGGATTTCCTGAAATGAGCTTACTACTGCTCAAAAGAAGAGAATTCTCTTCCCTTTCCAGAAACCAATACAGCATCCTTACAGAAATCTTCTTCAATTCCAAAGCCCGGCAAAACTCATATGCCGGCAACCCCCAAATCCAAAACCCTTCTAGGGTTTTACAACATTTCTTATATTCAACTCAGTCTTCTAAGTTCTCCGAGTACGAGATGCCGACGGTCACTTGGGGTGTGGTACAAGGCAAGAAAGAAAAGCTTATTAATCGCGTAAAAATATGTGATTATCTTAAGAGCTTAGGAATAATCCCTGATGAATTGGAAAGTTTAGAATTACCATCTACAATCGAGGTAATGAGTCAGCGGGTCGAGTTCTTACAGAAAATAGGATTAACCATTGATGACATTAACGAGTACCCGTTGATGCTGGGCTGTAGTCTCCGTAAAAACATCATACCTGTGTTAGGCTACCTGGAGAAGATAGGGATACAGAGGTCGAAACTAGGGGAGTTTGTTAAGAACTATCCGCAAGTGTTGCATGCGAGTGTTGTTGTTGAGCTTGCCCCTGTGGTTAAGTTTCTTCGTGGGCTTGATGTGGAGAAGCAAGATATGGGGTATGTTTTACAGAAGTATCCTGAGCTTCTAGGGTTTAAGCTTGAAGGCACTATGAGTACTTCAGTTGCTTATTTAGTAAGCATTGGGGTTAATCCTAGAGACATTGGTCCTATGGTAACACAGTACCCTTATTTTTTGGGAATGAGAGTTGGTACTATGATTAAGCCGCTTATAGATTTTCTGGTTTCCCTAGGTTTACCAAAGAAGATTGTGGCTAGGATGTTGGAGAAGCGAGCATATATACTTGGTTATAATCTTAAGGAGACTGTTAAACCAAATGTGGATTGCTTGATTAGTTTTGGCATCAGGAGCGAATCACTTGCATCAGTTATAGCACAATATCCCCAAATTTTGGGATTACCTCTGAAAGCTAAGATGTCTTCGCAACAATATTTCTTTGGTTTAAAGCTCAAGATTGATCCAGAGGGTTTTGCTTGTGTGGTAGAAAAGATGCCACAGATTGTGAGCCTTAACCAACACGTGATTATGAAACCTGTTGATTTCCTTTTGGGACGGGCATTTTCACCAGAGGATGTGGCAAAGATGGTGGTGAAATGTCCACAACTAGTTGCATCGCGAATTGAGCTTATGAAAAACAGCTATTATTTCTACAAGAGTGAGATGGGAAGGCCAATGAAAGAGCTTGTGGAGTTCCCAGAATACTTCACTTATAGCTTAGAGTCCAGAATTAAACCCAGGTATCACAGGTTGCTGAACAAGGGAATCAGGTGTTCGCTGAATTGGTTTCTGAACTGTAGTGATCAGAGATTTGAAGAGAGATTACAAGGTGATTTTATTGAATCAGAGGGTGCAGGTCCATCGTTTTGTATAGGTGGGAGGTTGGAGCTACCAAGAAACGAGATTGTGTCTGATGAGGAAGATGAGAATGATGAAGAAGTACTCTACAGACGAACAGTCTCTTTGTAGTATATTTTATTTAGTAACATCAAGCAATGAAAATTCAAATTTTTAATTGCCAGTTTTTGCTATCTTATTTTTTCTTTCCTTTTCATTACTATTGGTTTATTATTCCTTTAGTTATTCATTTAATAATCTCGTGCAAATGAGCCTCTATTTGAGAGCTGTGCTAGATATGCCTATTGTTTCTGATAGGCAAGCTTGTATATCACATGCGAGCCCTTTCCTTCTCTTGTTGGATTCCTGTGTTTTTCCATCTTCTCCTCTGAGCAGTGGCAGCAACAGCAGGGTTAGTGATGCAATTGAGAAAGTTATGGGATGGTGCTTCAGGTTACCATTCTCTCTTTCTGCTGGTTAACAACTCTCATGCGTTTGGCCAGCCCTAGATCAGGATTGAAATCCTTTTGTCCACAGGCACAGAGGATTGATTGGCAGTTATTTACTCCAATTGACACATAAACACTTGAGTCCACCTCTCTTCTGATCTCCAGAAACTGAGATGAGCAACAATTTGTAAACAGGTATGCTGTTTGGGCATGAGTTGATTTCAGTCGCTCCGTCGAAGAGGACAATAGTTTATTTATTCAGTACTCAATTTGAGACTTAATAGATCTTTTTTAGGGACCATATCACTGGGGAATGCCCAGCATAGTGAAGTGGGGAGACGAACCCCCAAAGGTTACTTGTTAAAGAGCATTTGTGCCATTAGCGACACTTACTAAGCTCTTTGATGCTGCTAGAAGTTACCAATTTTTAGAAATTGCAAGAGCGTCTCCTTTCTTTTCCACTGCACTTGATGTGGTCGTGATCCATGTGGACCAAAAAGAAAGAAAAACCTTCCAATTTCTGTCTTCTTTCTTCATTCTAACTGGGAAAACTTGTTTGTGGTTGTCGGCATATTTTCTTGCACTTGAGTAGGGATTTCTAATATCTTATTATCTCTTTCTTGCTACATAAATGATTACTGATTGGAAGTTAGATGGCTCAAATGGGAATCTTTAATATCTTACTATCTTGTTATTTGTTGAAAGTTAGATTGAGGTCATTTCATTTTTTTTTTGAATGAAGAGACCATTTTATTCCGACCCTACAGTAGTTTCCTTTGTAAACTCTTGGTTTTTTTCCATGGTTGAAATGCTGTCAGCAGTAATCTCTTATGTGCTCGGTAGTTGAATACTTCCATATATTTGATCACTGGGAAACAATGTCTGGATATGGCAGGATGGTTTATTTGCCATACCTGCAGTTTGGATGTGGCTTAATTAACAGGCAACATTCAAAGTTAGATGTAAAGCCTATGCGGCTCTCAAGATGGTCTGGCATCTTATTTCCTGGCGTGAATTGAGTACCACCAAATGAATTGTTGCTTACACAGGAAAGCATAAATTTCTTGGTAACTTTAAATTATTCAATAAACCCACATGAGATTTTCCAAAGATTTAGTTATTGTGAACGCCGCAACAGCAAAAGGCTTTATGGTAATGGAAGCGGAAGGCGAAGAGCTGGTAAGTATTAGAGCCATCAAACTTGCAATCAGTCATACCCACTGTCCGTTTCTGTGTCTTCCCTTGAAGAACTGTAAGGCATTTTCCTGTACTGCCATTGACCCAGAATCGGAATTCTTGGTGATTTAGCTCCTTTGGTGGATTGATTGATTTCCAGTCAGCCTCGGCTAAGTTTTCCAGGGAATTCAATGAACGGAGGCGTACCTTGCCGTGTTTGTCCACAGAGAGGTACTGTTGTCCACCTGAGCATTTGTCCATGTAGTTGCTAAATCTGTAGTTCATTGAAGAGTTACTTTCTGTTTTATCAACCACCAGCTAAAAGATTAGGGGGTCAATAATATGAATATCTTACCTATGATAACCAGAAGCTGAACCAGAAGTAGATTGCCAGCCAAAATAAGCGTTATGTGTTGTTGATTCTCCACCTTTGATGTTGGGTACTGAGTATACACCCCTATCGTTCTTATGAACGTAATCTGATTGTAATGCACCAGCAATGAGTGTATTGTCAAAAGCTGTCATGTGGGGATAAGCTTCACTTGCAGGGCATTTACTTGAGTCACATTTTGAGCACTGACTACATAGTTTGTCACTCTTCAAAAATGCAGTCCCTTCAACGCATGTCATTAGCAGGACAAGGAGGCAGATATAGAACAGGTATCTGTCCGTGTTCATTACTACCTAAGTTTAATTTTTTCCTTTCTCTATTGCACGATCTGATGAGCTAGGTTTCCTTTCTCTATTGCACAATCTGTTGAGCTAGGTTTCGTTTCTCTATTGCACGATCTTTTGAGCTAGGAATGGCATGCTTATGTACCTTTTCTTGTTCTTGGTTTTATCAACTTTCCTTGTTTCTATATCTGATTAGTAGAATTTAGCTTGCAGATCCTTTCTGTTCGGCAACTAAAATTATCTGATAAGGAGAAAGGCTGGATTTGGTACTTAGTGATTCTTTTGGTTTCAGCTTTTAGATGATATCAACCTTTAAATTCCACCTATTCTTTGTCTTATAGCCATTTTGTCTGCATACCTTTCAGTGTCGGCCCAACCTTTGTCCTATTTTCATTCTTGGAAACATCAAAAGAGCAAATGATTTCCTTTATTTGCTTCTCTAATGTGTAATTTTTGCAATTTTCATTAAATGTGAATGCTATTCACACTCACTTGAAATATTTAAATAATTATGACGAAGAGTTAAGGTTTCAGGTTAATCTGTGAATCTGAATAAGGTACATCTAAATGTTATTCATGCTTTCGCTTGAAATATTTAAATAATGACAATAACAAGTAGCAATTCACGATTAATCTGTGACTTAAGATCTCATTTCTTCCACCTGCATTTCTAATGTAATGGGATAAATAATCTGTGGATCTTCCGCTGATATTTTAATCTACTCTTCTTTCTGTGATGGCTTGGTTGTGCTTTGGAATCACAGTGCCGGATGTAATGCATGGGATATCACAAATAATGGAGGCTGAGATCTTAACAGAGCAACAGTATATCCCAGGTTAGACGCATATATTTAATTGTGACATGGTATCTTAAGACATGATTTTGTCATGAATTAAATAATATTATGACTGTATTTCAGTTAATTGATTAGAATCTTTGATTCATACAATGTCATATGCTTACAAATTTATCTTTTGTTGATCATGTCCAAGGATCATCATGCTACTCGTCTCTTCTCACGTTTCTTTAGAAGAAAGCCTTATTGGCATGAAAAATTGGGATTTGGGGGAGGGGCCAAACAGTGAATAGGACAAATTATGTAATCTAAGAAGGTAAGATGGGGTAGAATGGAAAACATGTTATCTTGTTAGACAATATAGTAATGAAAATGAGAATAAAATATTTTATTTTTTTTAGAATCAGAAATAAATATTATTATCATCTAAAAACCAATATTTACCTTATAAAAAGGACAGGTTGTAGATACAGACAAAGGTTTTATTATAGTTACTTGGGATCTAGTTATAAGATTTTATATTAGTATGAGCTCGTTAAGAGGGAGCGCAACGATTTACTGGAGTTTGAAGCAATCAAAAAATATTTTTGACACACTTTTCTGTATATTATCAGATTATTATTTTGTTTCTATACAAGAAAATGTAACTTGTAAGAATAATATGAGCTCGTGCTCTTTTCTCATGTCTCAATTCGCAAGCCAGCATGGTGAGATGCATAAAGAGAACGTGAATTTTTGTGCGTGACCATTAAACCTTTTCCTTAGACTTGCTGTGGAGAATAAGCTCCCAACAAGTAAGCTGCAACATATTCACTGGTGCACGCAGGAAGCAGTTTGTGCAGTAAGGATGCTGAAAGTGTTTTCTATGCCATTACGATTGTATAAATGCTCATAATATTTGGGAGATTATCATTCACGTAAACAATCAAAGTGGCTTCTTCTCCATGCTTTTTAGTAGCATAATTGTCATATTACTTGGCCTCACTTGTTTTTGTTTGTGGGTTGATGTATCTGGTTAGCCTGCAATAATACAAATTTTTCAGGTTGCTCTACGACGATGAACTGAGTATCTATAAAGCTTAGCTGGATTTTTAGTTTTACCAGAAGACTGAGAAGAGATCATGTTAGGATTTATTTGACATACTCTGACCAGGAACATATGGAATCCTTTCCTGCTCGGTTGATCAAGATTATTGTGATTAATAAGAATGCAGTATTACGTAGCAGCACTAAGGCAATGGGGTATGGCAAGCTTTTGCTAGATGGCGCTGGGCACTGGCTGGAGGCTTGCTCTGACTATGATATGAAGGGGTTAGTGTTTGCTATTTGCAATGGTCTTTTCCTTTCTGCAAATAGGAATCTTGGCAGGATCATCATTGGGACAGATCCCTCAGAGGCTGCTAGGATGCTCAAACTGTCATCTGTTGAAATATTTTATGTAACGGCCCCGTAAATATTAAAATGAAATGAGTATTTAAATATATCAAATGCGGAAGCGAGATCAAAATTTCAGTTAACATCCCTTACACGAAAAACCAGAAACGTACTTAAAATATAAAAGATTAAACTAACTAAGAGAGAAACTCGAAAATAAAACTATGAGTATGACTACAGAGTCTCTAGGTATCCCCTTCGTCGTCCTCCTGCGGAACGGGCTCGGGAACCATGTCTTCCTGATCTGAAATGGTTAAATAAGGAGTGAGCTACACTAGCCCAGTAAGAACATCACGATATCTCACCGTCACGGAGGTAAAGGTGGGTAGAAAAACACAAAAAGACCAATGGAGCATAATTTACAATAAAACCTTTTATCAATAATAAAACTTTTACCATCCACTTACCTTGGTGGAATTTATGAAAACAATATGAGAAAAACAATAACATCATCATAATCATTGAATAATCTAAGCTGTAAAACATAACACTTATCACGCCTCTTGTAATTCAATCATTGTACAACATATCCTTTTTTCTCATTTACCAGCCTACTAGTATCCGTGGGGGTCCATAGGGGTTCCGCTACCCGTTAACCTTTAACATTCATAATCAGTTTCCAGGGCCGTCCCCATACCCCGTCCGGTATGGGCGCCAAAACCATGAACCTCAATACCCCGTCCGGTATGAGGGTGAAACGGGCCGTCCCCATACCCCGTCCGGTATGGGCGCCAAAACCATAAGATCTCCATACCCCGTCCGGCATGTGAGACCACAATCCCGGTAGGGTTCCCTACGGACCCGGTCCGTCCACCATCTCCCAGGATATCTAGTCAGGCTGACCCCCATAATACAATTATCAGTCTATACAATCTTTCATTTTCCTTTTCCTCAATCAACATCATCAATTCACATTTAAACAAGCAAATCGTAATTCATACCAACAGACAACATACAATATCAGTTTTTCAGTCATTCAACCCATAATTAATAAAAACGTAGTACATGCACACAAATCTGTAAAATGAACACATCAAACCTCATTTTGCATTTAAAGCTGTAAACAGGCCAAATAACAGTAAATCATCAATCACACTAGACTCGGGCTCCATTAGCAACCTTAAGCAATTTCACACATGCGTTAATTCAAGAAATACTGTTTTATCATTTTGAACTTTAATACCGTGATAGGAAATAGGGTGAGGGGTCCTTACTTGTTTTCGGGATCCGAATACGATTCACAGTGCGCCTGCAGGCTGTCCCTAATTTTCCCCTGAATTTTTCCCGGGGAACTGAAACACGCTAACAGTACCTGCACAGGTTCCAAAAAAAATCCAAATTAGGCCCAGGGCCTCTTTCGGCCCAAATCGCAACTCCGGCACGGCGGCTCCGCCGTGCTCCGGCGACGGCGCCGCCGCTGGCGGCGGCGAGTCGCCTCGGGTTGACTGTTTTCGGCCGTTTTTGGCCGAATTCGGCCACACTCGCATTGGTCCTTGTCAGAAAACAACCCTAGGGCCCTCGGGGGGCCAAAAAATCACGGAAAAACGGAGCTTACCGGCGGCGGCGCTCTCGGGTACGGCGACTCTCCGGCGAGGTTCGTGTTTTGGTGATTCGGCTCCGGTCAACCTGTAGAGAAAAGAATGGTGATCACGGTGATATAAAAATTGCATCGAACGGAGGCCGGGAAGGGCCTCGTCGGAGGCAAAAACCGAGAGGGGGCGCGGCGGCGCCGCTGGGCTTCGGCCGCGTATTCCGGCCGTTTGGCCAGGATTTCGGCCTCGATTTGGCCATAGGAGGAATCAGCGGGGAAAAACGAGTCGGGGGTATGAAATTTACCTCAATCGGCGGTCGAAAATTTCCCCGGTGCGGCGGCGAGTGGCGGCGGGTGGCGGCGGTCGGCCTCTGGTTCGTCTTCTCCGGCGAGCGGCTGGCGGCTAGGGTTTTTGGTCTGGTGTGGAGGTTCTATTTATAACCCCTTGCCTTTTGATCACAGCCGTTCATTTCGTTTTAATCTGGGCCGTCCGTGCGTTTGAATCTGGGCCGTCCGATCGCGTGATTGATCTGGGCCGTCGGATCGCACCCACGCGGATCGCCAACGTGGCTCCTTTCGGAGTGACGCGATCTTGCCACGTGGCAGGCCCTGGTTGGCCGGGACTGCTGACGCGGCTGCTGACGTGGCTGCTGACGTGGCCCCCCCTTTTCTCTTTTTTTTTTTTTTTTTTTTTTTTTTTTTTCTCCTCCTTTCCGGGTGCTACAACTCTCCCCCCCATAAAGAAATTTGGTCCCCAAATTTGCCTCATTACTCTTGATCAAACAGATGAGGATATTGGGCCCTAAATTCTGATTCCAGCTCCCAAGTCGCCTCCCTAGGCGTGTGGTTCTGCCACAAGACTTTTACAAATGATATTTCCCGGTTACGGAGTATTCTGCTTTCTCGGTCTGTGATACTGACCGGTACTTCTTCATAAGACAAGTCCTCTCGGAGTGAAAGCGGTTCATGAGCCACGACATGAGAAGGGTCCGGATTGTACTTGCGCAGCATAGATACATGAAACACATTGTGAACCCGGGAGAGCTCAGGGGGCAGTGCAAGTCTGTAGGCAGTGGTACCAATCTTGTCTAAGATTTCAAAGGGTCCAATGTATCTGGGGTTTAATTTTCCCCTTCTGCCGAACCTACTAATTCCCTTGAAGGGGGTGACTTTAAGAAACACCCGGTCACCTTTCTCAAAGGCCAGGTCTCTCCTCCGGGTATCAGCATAACTCTTTTGCCTACTCTGAGCTGTCTGGATGTTCTTCTTGATCTTAACTATCTTGGACGTGGTTTCTTCCACCAAATCCGGGCCAAACAATCTTCTATCGCCCACTTCCTCCCAACAAATCGGTGACCTGCACGGACGACCGTATAGCGCCTCGTATGGGGCCATGCCGATGCTTGCTTGGTAACTGTTGTTGTAGGCAAACTCTATCAGGGGTAGGTGGTCGTCCCAATGGCCTCCGGAGTCAAGGACACAAGCTCGGAGCATATCCTCCAGCGTACGGATTGTCCTCTCTGATTGTCCATCGGTTTGGGGGTGGAAGGCAGTACTGAGGGACAGCTTTGTTCCCATAGCTTGCTGGAAACTATTCCAAAACCGAGAAGTGAATCTGGGATCCCTGTCGGATACCACTGTTACTGGGACCCCATGCAGTCTGACTATTTCCCGGACATACATTCTTGCCAACTTGTCCAACGAATCAGTCATTCTGATGGCCAGGAAGTGGGAAGACTTAGTGAGTCGATCAACAATTACCCATATGGCATCGTGTCCCGATCGTGCCTTGGGTAGTCCCGATACGAAGTCCATGGTGATGTGTTCCCACTTCCATTCTGGAATCGGTAAAGGCTGAAGCAACCCCCCTGGGCGTTGATGTTCTGCTTTGACCTGCTGACATACCAAGCACTTAGATACAAAGTCGGCTATATCTCTCTTCATCCCATTCCACCAGAATCGGGGTCGCATAGTTTGGTACATTTTTGTACTTCCTGGATGCATGGCGAACCTTGAACTATGGGACTCTGTCATGATGTCTCTTTTTAATTCATTGTCGTCTGGGACACACATTCTGTCCTTGAAACGAATTAATCCGTCGGCGGAGATCTGAAAGTCTGAGTTCACTCCTTGTTCTGCATCCTTCTTGCGGTTTACTAGGGCGGGGTCGATTGACTGGGCTTCCTTTATTTTTTGGATTAACTCGGGTTGGACTGCTAGGTGGCTCAAACATGTGGCCCTTTTCAGATCTTGCAGTCGAACCTGCTGCGTAGCCCCAATGGACCTGCATTCCGAAACCATCAGATGGGCTAGGGTGCCTGCACTCTTCCTGCTGAGGGCATCGGCTACTACGTTGCCCTTACCTGGATGGTATAGGATGTCACAATCATAGTCCTTGAGGAGTTCCA